GTTGAAATTTCAACCCTGCTAGCTGAAGCAGGGTTGAAATTTCAACCCCGGGGTTGAACTCAGCCCTGGGTTGAAAACTTTGTCATGTAATCGAGCGTTTGATTTTGATAGAGTTTTGTATTACAGACAGGGCTGAAATTTCAACCCGGTAAACAGGGCTGAGTTCAGCCCCGGGGTTGAAATGCTCCATGTAATCGGCCCCTTAAAGAAACCTGTAATGTATCTACTGACTGCAATAATAAGTTTTCCTTACTACATAATAACATAAGAAGTCTAAAGAAAAATTTAGAAAATTTACAAACACATCTCCTCGATGAACTTGCCTATAATTTTGATGTAATTGGTGTTACAGAAACTAGAATTAAGCAAGACGTTTTTATTGATTTTAATCCCTCAATGCCAAATTACAACTTTGAATTTGTACATACACCATTAGCTGCTGGAGGAGTAGGCATGTATATTAATAGTAGTCTGAAGTATAAAATACTTGAGAAAAGCTCTAATGAATCTTATCAGGCACTATGGATCGAAATTCAATCACCGAAGAATGCAAACATAATATGTGGTGTTATTTACAGGCAACACAATTCACCGGAACGTTTCTTAAGCTATTTCGAAGAAACTATTGAAAAAATGAGTGCATCCGGTAAACCCATTTACCTAATGGGCGATTTTAATATCAATCTTTTCCGTTCTGAAACATGTAATCACGCTCAAAATTTTATCCTCGCTATGCAAAGTTTCAGTTTAATGCCTACTATAGACAAACCAACACGCGTACATAATGACTCGGCAACACTCATAGATAATATTTTTGTAAGCAAATTAGAAAATAATATTACATCTGGAAATAGTCGGTCTCAGATATAAGTGATCACTACTCTCAGTTTTTTATCACTCATTCGAACGTAAAAGCTAAAACTAATTTTGCAAACAAACATTTAACTCGAGACTATTCAAAGTTTTCAGAATTCAACTTTGTCAATGATCTTTCCCGTACTGGTTTGAATCATGCTGTTGATTTGAGCGAAAATGATATAAACAAATCGTTTTCAACATTTTACAATAAGTTAAATACAGTTATCAAAAACCATGCTCCCCTTAAGAAAATTTCTAAGCGTAAAGCAAAGCAGTTAACAAAACCATGGATAACTAAAGGTATCAGGAAATCAATTATAATTAAGAATAGGTTATATAATCGCGGTGATAAGGATAAATATAAATTCTATAGAAACAAAATTTTGACACTCACTCGTCAGAGTAAAAAGGAATATTATCATAGATATTTTGAGTGCAACTTTGCAAACGCTAAAAAGACCTGGGAAGGTATAAACGAATTAATTAATCGGAAGAAACAGTCAACTAGACCCATCCCGTCTTTAAAATGTCCCATAAGCAACAGAATGATATATATGATGAAAGTAAGTTTCCAAATATATTCAATAAATACTTTTCATCAGTGGGTCATAATTTAGCTAGTAAAATGCCAAATTCACAAATTCCATTCACAAATTATCTTCCAAAGATAAATAACCGAGGATCGTTTCAATTTAATCCTATCATGCCGCACGAGATCGAAATAGAAATTATGTTAATTCCAATGAAAAAGGCTCATGGCCTATACTCATGCCCAACTCGTATTTTAAAATGCGCTAGACACGTTTTATCCAATCCTTTATCTGATTTAATGAATAAATCGGTTGAATGCGGCCAATACCCAGCTAAATTAAAACACTCAAAAGTTATGCCTATTTACAAAAAGGATATGAAACCGATCTTTCTAATTATAGACCAATATCTCTTTTATCAATCTTTAATAAAATTTTTGAAAAATTGATGTATAATCGTTTAAAATCTTTTCTTGAGAAACAAAATATCATATTTAAATCTCAGTATGGTTTTCGGGAAACTGAATATTCAACTCAGCATGCAATTTTAGATATAGTAAATCAAATCCAATCTAACATGTCTCGTAAATTGTTCACTTGTGGTATTTTTATTGATTTGCAAAAGGCATTTGACACTGTAAACTACTCAATACTTTTAGAAAAATTGCATCATTATGGAATAAGAGGCATCATAAACGATTGGTTTTCCTCTTACCTGTTAGGTCGTATCCAAACTATTCAAATGGGTGTAAATATATCTGAAAAAGAAGAAACTCTTTCTGGCGTTCCTCAGGGATCTGTCCTGGGACCGATACTATTTTTAATTTATATAAATGATATTTATAACTCCTCTGATAAGCTGACGTTTTCCTTATTTGCAGATGACACCAATTTACTATACGCTGACAAGAATTTAAAAACACTAGAAAATATTGTCAATACTGAACTTCTTAACATCTATAACTGGTTAACAGCTAATAAATTATCCCTCAACATAAAAAAAATCTATTTTTCATTCTTACCAAGATGTATGATGCACAGTCGAATACTTTCGTCTCACTAGCAACTAAAAATTACATTAATTAAATACCTCGGTGTTCTCATGGACTCAAATCTTTCATGGAAATTTCATATTGGGTACATTGCCTCTAATCTTAGCAAACGAATTGGTATAATTGCTAGGCTGCGTCATTTTGTACCAGTTAGTACACTAATAAGTATCTATAAGTCCCTTATGCTGCCTTACCTAACTTATGCTATTGTTGTATGGGGATGTGCTGCCAAATGTTACATTGATAAAGTCCTTAAACTCCAAAAACGTGCTCTTCGTTTAATATATTCTGCACACTATCTGCCTCATGCCATTCCTTATTTTCTGTCAGCTAATCACGGTTCTGCCAATAAATTTGCTTTATTGCAAATCAGTATCAATACTAATGCATGACGTATCAAGTTCAGTAGTACCCCCAAATATTTCGGCTTTGTTTACCCCATTAAGTCAGGTACACGAACACAACACCAGATCTTCCACTAGGAAGAACTTCCACGTTGAATATTCAGGTTTAGATATGCAAAGCAAATCATTATCAAGAATGGGAGGTAGAATTTGGAATAGCATTCCTACAGAACTACGTGAAAAATCAAAGAATCACTTTAAAAAGTTTTACATAGAAAGTTACTTCAAATATTAGAAAGAAAGACGACTATATTGATATTCTAACAATACAAAAAGAAATCGCAATAATCTAAAAGTTAAATTATTTTATGATCTTGAATTTAAGTCTGATCATTCGTTAGACATTATGTTTGTATATATGGTGAATGTATTTCTATCATATATATGCCTTTTGGTGATGAATAGAGCTTGTATTTACTAATGAATTTTGAAATCTTCTTTAATTCCGAATGTGTGTAGTTGCTGTCCACCACGATTAGCTTTTGCTATTTGTGGACAGCAACATTTTATTGATTTTGTAAATTAATTGGACTTAATAAATTGAATTGAATTGAATTGAAAAGTTTAAATAAAATGCAAGCTAAATAAAGAAGTGTTGACAAGATACAAAACAAGACAATTTCACAAGGTAATTTATAGGAATATATAGCTTATTGTAACTGTATAAATACATTGTGCGTTTCTGCTCCCTGTGGGCTGTGGTTCTTTTGGAAATAAAATATCTATTATATTTTGCAATTGATAATATTAAAGTTTAGCCTAAGACATGTGTAGTTAGTTATAGGTTGGCATTTTGCAATTATGTACCGTACATGCCCCTTAAGTAGAGTATATTTATTAACTGTTTACAATATTTGTGGTATATAATGTAGCCATGAATGACCACATGATCGAACATGACCCCACAGGATGAACTACAATGGCTTCTAAATAAGACATTCGATGAAAAGTTCACGAATATTGAGCTTTATATATGATTCGGGTTAAATACAATAATTATTAACCTAGCTTTATATAAAATGTAC